AATTTTTTGAATGTGCAAAAATGATAAGGTGTATTTAAATCTTTAGATGCCCTCAGCTACTCTTTTCAAAACTTGCATCCTAATGAGTATCAATTCAACATGTCCTTATTTGTCGTCTCTGTTCTTGAAGTCAGTGGGAAGGAATGCAGTGCTTGTAAGGTGGACACCAATTTGATCCCTTGATGTAACATCTCAATGAGATCTTTTTACGTCTCATTTTACCACTCAATGCAACCAGAGCATTTAAAGGCAAAGGGTTGGACATGGGTTCCTTTAAGATGATATTTTTTTTTTCTCCTTTTCCTTGAAATCCAAGGTATAGAATTGTAATTTTTAACTACTGTAAAAGGAGTTTTAAAATAAATTTGCTGAAAGGGAGTGAACAAAAAGGGTAGTAATCGTAACTTCCTAATCACAGGCCATCAATTACTAGGAATAATTTGTAAGGAGAGTAAAAGCAGCATGTAATACCAAATGATTAAACACCATGGGGTATGTTGCAATCCCACCTACAGCAGTGAGTATCCCTTCCTGGAAGAGGGAGTGGATGTCCACGGGCCTGCCCCACGGCACAGCTGTCATATCTCTGTCTGAGCTGGTCTAGATAACACCCTGTTCTGCACAGTGAATGAACACAGCCGCCTCATGCTGTGCCATGCTGGGCCCAGCTCTTTATAACTGGGTATTTGGAATTGTTGTGAGGTAACCACCTGAACAATAGAGTTTAGGAAATAAGAGAGGAGCTGGGAGGGCAAAAAACAATAATACAAAGCAGTCCAAGTATTATTCATACTGTTGTTTCTAGTTGCAGCAAGGAAATAGTAATGACAACAGCTTAGTTAAAAGTGAACATTTAGGGACCAGCAGTTGGCATAATGACTACGTTGCTGGATTCCCATGCAGTCGACTGGGGTTTGAGTCCTGGACCCGGGCACGTGTGTGTGTGTGCGTGCCCAATATCCCAAGAGGAGAGTGGAGGAGAAGGGATTGAAGCATGGCCATACCCCCTGGGGGGGGTGTGATTTCTTGCTTTCTGTCTCTGTCTCTCTCTGTCTTTCTGGCAAGTGCATGTGCGCTATAGCAAAAACCTCTCAAAAAAAAAAAAAAAGTGAATGTTTAATGTATATGCACCAGAACCTTTACTAAGGGTCTTGCTCACACCTCTGATGTCCTTTTCTATCCTGGGTTCAGAAAGGCCGAGCAATTTAGCACACACAGATATGTGATGAAGCCAAGACTCACGCCAGACCTGTCTTACTCAAGTCTTGACTGTCAGGCAACACATTTTCCTATGTTGTCAAGCAGGCAGTCCCCAAAGAAAAATTCTTGCTGGTTTCCAGCTTGACTTAGCTACTCTGCCCAGTAGACAGCTAAACCCCTCTCTACTATCGTACATCCAGATTCTGTACTTCGCTGGGATTCTGATTAGTTCTGGGACCACTTGTTTGTCAAAGGCCCAATTTACTCATCCAGTCTGCTTATTTCTCTAGAGCTTAGTTTATCAACCCATGACAGGTGAATAAGGGAGTCTTAACTCCATTCTTGAACAGACAGAGATGTCTCATCAAATCAGATCATTAATATTTTGCACTCAAAAAGCCTGTGAAGTAGGTCAAATTCTGTTAGTCAGCCTCTGCCTGGTGTTCTGACAGAGGAGCCTTTTGCAAACTGACTCTTAGCAGATACTTTCCTACCGTGAATTGCTAAGATAGCTGCAAATGCTCACCTGGGGTGACCTAGCTATGGAGTGATCTTTCCAAATCTGCACTTTTCCTTGGAGTATCAGAAATTTCTGTCTCCTAATCAACAGATTGGGAAACTGATCTCTGTAATTGCAGCTGCTAAAAGTGCCAGCTAGTATTTATGAACAAATAAGAACATGTCCACATCATTTTAGAAAAGGATTCAGACTGATCTGCATACATGCAATTTTTCTTCTACCCTATTTGATTTTTTTTTCTAGAGGCAAATATGATATATCTTGTATGTACCATGTAGTGACAAAGTGGTGAAGAACATGAAACATTTCTGGAAGTCTGTATATTTTTAAGGAATTGTCTCTCAACCTGGACCTCTGGATAGGCATTAGTGAAGTCTTTGGCTACCCTGAGGTGGTTGTACAATACTTAAATACATACATCTTTGTGCAATTTCTTTTGGGAAAAGGTTCGTTAACTTTCTTTGTATTTTCAGAGGGATCTGTATTCTGATAGTTTAATGCACTTATGTTACAGAGAAGAAAACTAAAGTTTATAAAATCAAATGGATTACTTGACAACACACAGTAAGAATTCACTAGGAATTTATGTAATAAACAAATATTGATACTTACAACATCTTGATATCAGGGAGAAAAAAACTTAACCTATCTTATGGGTGGCAAGACAGGCATAAGTAAGTAAAGTTTTTGCCATATCGTATGTGTGCTCACTGGAGACATACAGAGAGGAAAAGTAAGAAATCACCCCCCCACCCCCCACCCCCCAGGTGGGATAGCCAAACTACAATCCTTTCTCCTCCATTCTCCTCTCAGGATTTTGGGCATAAACATACATGCACCCAGGGTGATTTTCAAAGTTCTGGGTCCAGAACAACAGTTGGTCGTGTGAGTGTCTGGTACCTTAACCACCATGCCACCTGCTAAACCCTAATAAAGCATATTTAAAGTACTTAAGAGAACTAAAATATTGTTACCTTTAAAGTCCTATATCCTATCATGTGGATATCATGTACCCCTTATATGATGTGACCAGAAGAGCACTCACTTCTGTGGTATTTTTTTCAAAGATCTGATTATAAGAAAAACATCAGACAAACCCAATTTGGGGGGCATTCTATGGTATACCTGGCATGTCAAGGTCACAAAAAAAAAGAGAAGAGGGAACCAGCAGTTAGCATAATGGCTATGTCGCTGGACTCCCACGTAGTCAACCGCGGTTCGCGTCCTGGACCCGGTGGCTTAAAACTCACGCCGGGCGCGTGTGCGTGCGTGCCCACGATCCCGAGAGGAGAATGGAGGAGAAGGGATTGCGGCGTGACCATCCCCCCTGGGGGGTGATTTCTCGCTTTCTGTCTCTAATGTCTCTCTCTGTCTGTCTGGCGAGCGCACGCGCCCTATAGTGAAAATCTCTCCAAAAAAAAAAAAAAAAAGAGAAGACTAAGAAACTGCCACAGACCATAAGAGACTAAAGAAACCTGACACTTTAAATGCATTTTGGGAGTACCATCAGGTGGCGGACTCACACATGGTCGACTGCAATTCGAGTTCCAGGCTTGGTGGCATGTTTTCTTGCTTTCCTTCTCTGTCTCTCTTTCTTTGTCTCTCTCTGGTAAAATTAAAAAATAGTAATAGTTGGGGCTGGCAGGTGGCATGGTAGTTGAGGTGCTGGACTCCCACATGGCTGACCATGGTTCAAGTCCCGGACCTAGTGGCTCACTTTCTCACTTTCCCCCTCTCTCTTTCTCTGTTTGTCTCTGGTCAAATTAACAATAATAATGATAATAATTAATAAAGTTAAATAAATATTTCTTTTAAAATATTACTAATACTACTACTACTAATAAATACAATTTAATAATTAATTTTTTAAAATATTTATTTATTTCTATTTGTTATTAGTATTTTTTACTTTGACCACAGAGCGACATAAAAAGGGAAAGTGAGAAGGCAAACTGCCAGGTCCTGGACTCAAACTGTCATCAGCCATGTGGGAGTCTAGCACCTCAACCACCATGCCACCTGCCAGCCCACACAATTCAATAATTCTTTTTGTCTGTCTGGCAAGCGTACGTGCCCTATAGCAAAAACCTCTCAAAAAAAAAAGATCATTTATTTGATGAGAGAGAGAGAGACAGAGAGAGAGAGAGAGAAAGGGAAAGTGAGAAAGCAAGCCACCAGGTCCAGGACTTCAACCATGGTTGGCCATGTGGGAATCCAGCACCCTATCCACCACACCACCTGCTGGGCCCTCAATAATTCTTTAATGAAAATAAATAAATGCATTTTAGTATCCTGGATGGAATACTGGAACAAAAAGAGGACATTAATGAGAAAATTATTGAAAACCAAATCAAATTTGGAATTGAATTATTAATAATGATGTACCAGTATTGAATTCTCAGTTTGGGGGCTGGCAGGTGGCATGGTGGTTAGGGGTATTGGACTTCCACATTCCCAACTGCAGTTCAAGTCCCAGACCTGGCAGCTTGCTTTCTCACTTTCTCTCTCTCTCCCCCTCTCTGTCCTTCTCTGGTCAAATTAAAATAAATAAATATAATTAAATAAAAAATAATTCTTTATTAATAATAATGTACCAGTATTGGGTTCTGAATTTTGACAAATGTACCATGGTAACATGAGCAGCTAACAATGGCTCTCGTTGAAACTTTTCTGTAAATTTGAAATTATTCCAAGTTTCACGAGTTCATTTAATAACTATAGTTAACTGGGGCCAGCAGTTTGCATAACAGCTATGTCGCTGGACTCCCATGTATTTGACTGTGGTTCAAGTCCTGGACCCAGTGGCTTGAACTCACACCAGGCGTGTGTGCATGCATGCCCAAGATCCTGAGAGGAGACAGGAGAACGGAGGAGAAGGGATTATGGCGTGGCCACCCACCCCCGGGGTGGTGATTTCTCGTTCTGTCTCTATCTTTCTGGTGAGCACACATGCCCTATAGCAAAAACCTCTCCAAAAATGAATAAATAAATAAATAACTATAGTTAACTTTCACACAGCTGCAGTGGTGCAGCCAGTAAGGAGCACTGCATGATACTGGAGCCATATGGGAAAGCCCAGGGTTCAGATTCCAGATCAACCTGAATATGCCAGGCAAGCCCGTGGGCATCTATGATCTTGGCTAACTAGAAAGGTCGGGATGGGAGGAGGATGGTAGTGTGGTAAGACCTTCTCAAGGGTCCCTGTCCCTGTCCCTGTCTCTCTTGCTCTCAAACAAACAGAAAACATTGTTAACTATGTCTTTCGCACTAATTTTCACAGATATCACAAAATGTGAATACAATGTCTGATGAGCCAGTGAGCCAGCTCTGGTGTTCACAATGAAAGGACTGGCAACTGGTCAATATTGTGTTTGCATTGATTACTTCAAAATCTTTGTTGGAGGAATAAACACAAGATTGAATTCAACAGAGATAGAAATAAAACCATAAGCACTGACTCCTGAATATGGGGATAAGTGAGGAGATGTCATGGATCCACGCGTGTGCTTGGCCTCTGAGCTAGCTCCAGTGCACCTCTGACAAAGTAATGTGGTGACTTCAGGTATCTTAAAATCTCTAAGCTTCGCTTTGCTTGACTCTAAAATATGGATAACAGAAGTTCCTGCTTCCAAAGTTGTGAGAATTAAAATATATGTGAATTTCCTAACACTCAACTGTATAGGATTGGTTATAGGCCTAGTTAGAAGAATTTGACAAGTCGTTGCTACTGCTACTGCTTATTTTCAGCACTGAGGAAAGGAAAGCTTCACTGTAGATCTTGTCTCCTTTGCCCATGGAATAATGCTCATATTGTTTAGCATGACTTCTAAAGCCAGTTTTATATGTGAACAGCTTGATTTTCTGTGACCAGGCTTCCTGCCTTCTACTGTAACCACAGTGAACTTTTCAGAGCTTTTAGGCCCTGCTTCTGCCTCGCAGTCTCTCCTTCAAGATCACTCTTCAAGATCTTGCTTATATGCTCCTTCTCTGAGAAGTGTCCCTAACTATCCTGTGATGTCACTTGTCCTTTACTTTGTGTGCCGTGGAGATATACCTGTCCCAATTAGAACTCATTGCCTTGTGCCGCTATTATTTGTTTACCTAACTAGTACCTTTCCTGTGTGTAAGAATCAGAAGATCAGAGAAATCATCTCCATCTTCATATTCTTCTGACACTTGACATATAGTTGATGCCTAGCAAAACTGATGCGTAAATTGAATGAATATGAGTAGAAATACTATTGATACTAAAACAATTGGAGGGAGGACCAGTAGATGGTGTAGTGGTTACATTGCTAGACTCCCACATGGCCAAACGTGGTGGAGTCCTGAATCTGGTGGCGTGAAAATTATGCCAGGTGTGAGTGCACGTGTGCTCAGGGCCACCACCCCCCGCCCCCAAGGAGAATGGAGAAGGGATTGCAGTGCG